CCCTGACGACTAATGATGTTGAGCATCTCTTCATGTGTTTATCGGTCATTTGGATATCTTCTTTGAAGAAACATTACTCAGATTCTTTGCCCATTTTTTATTTGGGTTGTCTTTTTATTATTGAGTGTAAGAGTTCTTTATATATTCTAAATACAAGTCCCTTATCAGATATATGATTTGAAAATTTCTCCCATCCTGCGGGCTATCTTTTCACTTTCTTGATAGTATCCTTTGATGCACAAAAGTTTTTCATTTCGATGAGGTTCAATTTACCTATTTTTCCTTTGGTTGCTTATCTTTGTCTATTCTATTAATATACAACTGTTTCCATGGAGAACTGATTGTAATGACTAATTAACTCTTTTCCTCAATGTGATTACATCTCTGATGTAATAAACTGCTTATTCAATTAGCATGTCTGGTCTCATCTCTCCCTTTGAAAAGAATAATAAGTGGTTGTGCTTCCCCTGATAGAGAGGCAATGAACAGACGGAGGCTTTTACCACATTATGGTATGGAATTCTTTATCTCGGAGAGTAACATTGGGAACATAATCCTGGGCGCTAGGTGCTTAACTCAAACCTCAGCTGCTAAATGCTCAGCAGCCTCATACTGTCTTCCTGTCCTGCTACTCTTAGTTCCAGGCCCTGCATTCAACTCCAGCCCCACCTCCTCTTCTGGCCTCCAAGTGTGGACATCCTCCGAGGCTCAGTCTCCATGGCCCTCTCCTGCTCATTCCACATTCTGTGTCCCTGGCTTTCTTCCAGGCCCCTAAACCGCCCACTACGGGTCCTCTCTCCGGTCAATCCTATACCTCTCACTGCCTCTAGGCCATCTCTAACCAGACCCACCACATCAACTGAAGCGTGGTGTGTGCTCCGCAGACGAGCACCTTCTCTTCCAGCCACTTGCCCCTCCGGACTCTGTCTCTGTATGGTATTATTCTCCCACTCACCTGGCTTCCAACCTCAGAGTCTTCTTTGGTTCTTTCTTCTCCCCATCCCCTACATCAAAACAGCCTATCACATCAGCCTTCAGCCTTTGATGTGGCACAGTTGTCTCGCTTCACCTTAATCCAGGCCCACAACCCGCCACACTGATCTTCCTAACGTGCCCACTTCACTCCTCTTACTGCTCTGCTCCACTCCCTTTAAATACTGCCTGCCCCGTAGAGAAAGTCCAAACCCCGACACTCAAAGCCACCCCCAGTCCGACCCAGCTGAGCTTTCCTACCTCACCTCCCTCTGCTTCTCCTACCAACCCTCTGCTCCAACCACTGTACCACCCACCGACTCTGAAACACCCTATTGTCATTCCCATCTCTACGTGTTTGCGCACACACCCCTCCTCCCTGGCTAGCCCTTCTTTTTCACCCATATATCACCCTCCTTCAGATTCATCCCATTTCCTTCACCAACCAGCCCTCCTTCGTTCACTCCTGAGGCACCTGTCTCTAGCATTTCTTTGGCCCTCATTCACTCATTCAAGTTGGCTTACATGAGATGCCTTCCTGCTACAAATCCCCACCTCCCTCTCCCAGGGTACCAATACACACTGAGCACCTACAGAGGGCCAGGCATTCTACCAGGCACTGGAGTTACAATGGGGGTAGGGAGGGGACACACCTTTGTGCCTCACAAAACTCAGGGGCAGGGCCTAGGGGCTGACACAATTAACGAAAGAATTATGGTCAATAAATGGACACTCTCAGCTGTGCTAAATGCTACAAAGGAAAAGTACTGAATACTAGAAAGCAGGTAACAGGGAGAAAAAGATCCCATTAGGTAGCTCAGGGCAGGCTGTGTAGAAGGAGGGCAAGTTCTTCTTTGGGTAACCTGCCTTCTCTCTCCACATGGCCTGAGTTCCCGGAAGGAGGCCATGCCTCACTCACCTTCTTCGTGGTTTTAGCATTGGGCATAAGGGTGAAGGAATCCATGAGTGACTCTGGTGGAGGAAGGGGAGGACTTTGGAACAAGAAAGCATCTCATCCAGGAACAACTGAGCCAGAGTCAGAACACGTTCAGAGACAGCCCTGGGTTCAATTTGAGCCCTGCTACTCTTTAACTCTGAGCACAGTACTTAACCTCTCTGTGCCCCAGGTTTCTGTCTATAAACTAGGACTAACCGCCTCCCTCAGAGGGTGGCTGGGAAGATTACGAGATAAAGTATATAGAAAAAGCCCTACCCAGGCCTAGTAGAGGAAAGCACCTAATCACTGGTGGCTGCTGTCATTAACCATTATTTTTATTATTCTAAGGGGACTCAGAGGCAGGAAATGAGCTCTGAAAGTTGTATACCAGGTCATCAAATTCGGGCCAAGTCACTACTGAGACGAGCCAAAGGGGCTTCTGAGCACTGGATTGTCTACGGTCTAAACAGAAGATGCGCCCAGGAGAGTTTCCCCAAAAGCAGGGAAGGCTCTTTGCCAGCCAAAGGAACTACCCAAAATTTGCTCTGCCTGAGGTCTGGCTGCCTGCCCTGACAGATCACAGGCTTTCAGGCCCCAGGAATCTGAGGCAAAAGAGAGGCTGCCAAGGTCGAAGGTCATCATGGCCACTTCCTAATTTGCCTGGCATTTATCTATAAAAGGAAACACAACAGGAAACTTCATCTTGCCAAGTCTGGCCTCCCTCCTCTTCCTGCTGTCACCATCTATTCTCTTCTGACTGGGGGCAAGAGAGCAGTGCAGGGTGCAGTAGGCAGAATAATGGCCCACAAGAGATGTCCACGTCCTAAATCCTGGAGCCTATAAATATGTCAAGTTACACAGCAAAGATGGGATCAAAGTTGCTAATCATCCGACCTTAAAACAGGGAAACTATTCTGGATTATCTGGATGGGCGCAATGTAATCACAAGGGCTCTTTAAACATGGAAGAGGGAGGCAGAACGAGGAGATGTGAGAAAGACCTGAAGATGGAAGAAGAGACCTGAGCCAAGGAAGGCAGGCAGCCTCGAGAAGCTGGAAAAGGCACTAAAATGGATTTTTTCATGGAGACTCCAGATAGGAATTCACCTGCCGACACCTTAATTTTAGCCCGGTGAGACCCATTTTGAACTTCTGATCTCCAGGACTCTCAGATAATAAATCTGAGCTGTTTAAGTCACTAAGTTTGTGGTAACTTGTTACACACACAATAGAAACTAACATACAGGGCTTTTGAACAGTTCTCCCTGGGACCTTAGGGCTTCAGAGGCAATGCCTAGAGTCAGAGTGAGGGTACTCAGGCTACGACCTTTTACACATTGGGCTTTAATAGAATGATGCTTAAGATATTTTTAAAAAATCACGGGTGCAGTAGAAAGAGTCTGGGGTCATACAGAGCTTGATCCAGTCTGTCTGTTGACCAGCTACGTGATCTTCCCACACTTCACTTAGCCTCTCGGAGCCTCAGGGCTACATCTGGAATCATGAGGATGACCGCCTCCCAGGGTTGTTATGAGAATTAAATGGGCAATGGCGATGACAGAGCCTGGCAGTCAGTAAACATTAGCTGCCCTCCCTGCCTCCTTCCTTCTACAAAGTCCTCTCTAAGGATTAGGCACAATCACAGAATTTCCTATCCCACTCCCCTCCCCTACAAATATGGGAATCCAGAGGAGCAGAAGCCCACCTCCCTCAATCCACCCAAGAAGCTGGAGTCAGGCTGGGACTCCATTCATTCACTTACTCACTCATTCATTCACTCAATGCATGGCCAGGGCTGAATGGGGAGCAAAAGGGACTGTCTCCACCCTGGCGGAGTTTACGGTCTAGTAGAACACACAGACATTAATCAAACAGTCAGGCAAACACATATACCATTCCATCAGCAACAGCTGCAAGGGAGAGATGTGTAGGCTACGAATGACGGGGGAGGTGATCTAGCCAGGAGGTCAGAGAAGGCTTCGCAGGGAAAAAAATGAATGAGCTGAGAGCTGAAGGATGATTACGCATTAACAAGGTGACAGACGGAAGAGAATTCCAGGCAGAGGAATAAAACTACAAAAAGGCCCAGTGGTGGGAGGGAGGCCCAAAGTCAAAGAAGGCCAGCATGGCTGAGGGGCAGTGAAAAAGGGGAAGTAGAGAAGGAAGGAAAAACAAATGACTCTCGGGTTCAACTGGGTGGTGATGGTACCATTCCTGGAAAGAGGAGACACTGGAAGAGGGCGAAGCTGGCAGCAGGGAACCATGAGGTCAATTCTGGACATGTGGAGTTCAAGGGACCTTTGGGACATCCTGGCAGAGCCACCATCTGGGAATCTGGATACACAGGATATGAGAACAGGTAACCTCTGGGCCAGAGATATAACCACGGCAGTCACGTGTGAGCAAACAGTGACTAAAGCAGGGGAGGGGGCCTGAGTGAGGTCACCTGCCAGAGACTGAGAGAAGGAGGCCTCTGAGAAACATTTAGCACCCAAGAGCTGGAGGGTGACTGCAAAGGAGGCTGGAAGGAGTGACCTGAGAAGTAAAGTGTCACATCATGGAAGCTAAGGGAGCAGAGCGTATCCGGGATGAAGAGGTGGTGGACAGTATCAAACATTCCGGCAAAAAGCTCTACAAGACGCCACCTTACTGATGGGACCACCCAGTTGGGCGACAAAACTGGAGAGGCCTGCTGTCCGCGGATGAGGCCTATCAGATAATCGCCCAGAGTGCCCTGGGAAGCGACCCAGGTATTAGAGGCTCAACTGCTGACAGCATCCCTGGGAAAAAGGAACAAAAAAACAGAGACCCAAAGTTCTTGTCATTGTATCCAGTGGCCTGGCCTCAGGATCTGGCTCAAACTAGAGGACAGAAGAGAGCAGATGCCGGCTTGGACACATCCTCTGTCCCAAGGCTGGTTAAATATGTATAGCTCTAAAACGAGGGCAATACTTGAGATCCGACACCAGGCAGGGGCTGTGCCTCCGACACAGGTCCCCAGCTGGCGAGGAGCCTGGACTGGGGCCTCCAGCTGCAGCAGTGGCTCAGCACCGTTTGCCGGCACTTCCACCCCCAGCGCTGAACCCACTTACCTGGTAAGATCCCTGGACCCTGGACTTTGACCGCCTCCTTTTCCCGCTCGTCCGCCTGCTCTGAGTTCTCAACCACCTGATCCAACTCCTCACTCAGCTAAAGGGAGAAACAAAGAGGGCAAGGAAGTCAGCTACCTCAGCTTTGCTTTTCTGGACTAGAATAAGAAAGCAGAAGCTGTTTCTCACTTAACTGTCATCAAAAAAAAGAAAGAAAGAAATCACATGATGCAGGGTATGTTATACCAATTCTACAGATCAGCGCACTGAAGCTCAGGAAATTCAAATAACTTCTATGTGTTAGTTTCCCAGGCTGCGGTAACAAAGCACCACAAACTGGGTGGCTTAAAATAACAGGAATTTATTCCCTCACAGTTAGGGAGACTAGAAAGCTGAAATCAAGGTGATGGCAAGGTTGGTTCCTTCCAAGGGCTGTGAGGGAGAACCTCTTCCATGCCTCTCTTCCAGCTCCAGATAATGGCCAGCAACCCTTGGTGTTCCTTGCTTGTAGATGCATCCCATCTCCGATCTCTGCCTCCATCTTCACACAGAGTCTCTGTGTCTCCACGTGGTCAATCTTATAAGGACATCATTCGTACTGGGGTAGGGCCCATTCTACTTCAGCATGACTGCATCTTAACTAAATACATCTGCAATGACCCTATTTCCAAATAAGGTCACTTTCTGAGGTGCTTCCTTTTTGAGGAAGACGATTCAACCCACAATACTTTCCATGGCCACAGAGCAAAGAGCAAAATCCAAGTTAGTCTAGTTCCAAAACCCATGCTCTTAATCACTTCCCAAAGAAGGAGGAAATGCAAGCTTAGAGTCTGCTGAGGGAGCAGAGGGAACAGAAGTTGGTGTCAGAGCTAAAGTCCACCAACTCAGGCTGCAAATGGCAGAACAAAGTGGGGAGGGCAGACCACCCAGAGACAGGTGCTAATTAGCAGCCTAATAGCAGGCAACCTCCACCTCACTTCATCAGAGTTCTCACCTGTCAAATGGCGACGATGATACAATGATAATTAACAAGGTTCCACAGCATTAAGGAGAAAAGCAAGAAACACCAAGACCAGAGTTTAGAGGAGGACCTATCACTGGATTGGGAGGTGAGGGAGGGGATAGACTTCCCAGGTATTTTCTTCGGCTCACAGGGTCAACACTTAAGGTCACAGGACATCATTAAAAATTCATCTCTAAGAAACTTGAGTTAAAACAAAGCTCTTACGTATCCAATATTCTTCCATCTCCTTCTCCATACCTCTGCTCCTGCCCTTTATTTATTTATTTTTAACATCTTTATTGGAGTATAATTGCTTTACAATGGTAGGTTAGTTTGTGCTTTGTAACAAAGTGAATCAGCTATACATATACATATACCCCCATATCTCCTCCTTCTTGCGTCTCCCTCCCACCCTCCCTATCCCAGCCCTCTAGGTGGTCACAGAGCACCGAGCTGATCTCCCTGTGCTACGCGGCTGCTTCCCACTAGCTATCTCTTTTACATTTGGTAGTGTATATATGTCCATGCCACTCTCTCACTTCACCCCAACTTACCCTTCCCCCTCCCCGTGTCCTCAAATCCATTCTCTACGTCTGCGTCTTTATTGCTCCTCCCCTTTAGAATCAGGTAAAGCCTCTTGTTTAAAGCCCTAAAGCCCAAAAGAAAAGAAAACCAACACGTGAAAGATGACACCATGAAACACAGGCCCACAGTGGGAAGGAACACAGATCAAGAGGTCCCCAGGGCTCTTTCC